GATCTTATAAACTGAAAAAAATAAACTCTTAAAAGAAATGAAAATCACTTTGATTCAAAAGATTTGCGCTTTTTTTCTATGTTTCTTAATCTAAACCAGAAACTATTTTTACTTAATTTTTTTTGAAAAGCATAGGAACTTTCTAAGAAAAAAATTTGTCTGCTACAAAAGCATATACTATTGACCTAACCAAATTTTATTTTGATTTTAGAGGAAATATCTCTTGGTCCAATATTTAATTCAAAAGCTTCTGATCTTTACTGAAACTACCAGCGTTGTTATATTAGTATTTAAGCTTAAATTTCCCTCACCACATAGGCCTTTTGATTTTAATTATTCAAACATGCATTTAAAAATTAAAATCAAGGATTTCATAGTGAGGGGAGTTCAAGTTCAAATATTGGCATCGTTGAAAACTAGAAGATTGTCTGAAAAAAGGTTTACAGAAAAATATATTTAAATAAAATAAGGCATTTATTGTTTGATATCAACAAAACCGCAAGTTTTTTTATACCAACACTAATAAAGTAACATAAATATGATTTAACAAAAAATTTTTATTACATATTGTATCGTTTTTACTGTTCGTAATGTGAATTAAAACACGCACTGGTTTATTAACGAACTAAACTATTTATTTTATAACTTACACAGTAAAGAAAAATCAACTCTAAGCAACACTAATTATTGTTAATTTGTAGTGTAATTTTCCCCAAGTAAGCAAGTATGATTTAACACAATAGCACTGAGGATAAAGTAATTTTACACTGTATTAAAAAGTACTAATTTACCTAAAATCGTGTACTTCTACACTTCCTGGGTAAAATCCCACCTTTGTTCAGTGTAAATTAACACTACTTTGGAAAAGTTCTAATTTTAGAAAGGTACTTTTACTCTTTTAGTGCAAACTTCTAGTGTAAATTAACACTATTATTTGAGTAAAACCTATTGGTGGTAGTGAATAAAACGAAAAGGTCAATAAAGAGAAACATTTATTTGGAACAAAAATCTATGACAATTATCAAAATCGGTGCCTTTTAAAATATAATTTTATATTTGAGTCGTATGGCTGGCTTAAGCAAAATGGTTCCTTAAAACGTAAAAGTTTTAGATCAATGCAATGTTTTACTGGCTGTCAACTTGTAAGCAATGAATTATCTTGAGAATTCATCAGTAATCCATTTTTCTGTTATACAAAATTGGTGATCCCATTAGTAGAGAGGCGTCAGGCGGCTGTATGTCGGGGATTTACCACACGTGTACAAATTTTCCATAATATTAATAAAAATGTAGGTATAGGTTAATATAACAACCATTACGCTTGAAAATAAGAAGTAAATCAATTGTGTATGTATTTATATTTTTAATGTTACAAGTACCCGACCTACTGCTGTAAATTATTGATATATAATATAGGTCGGGTATGGACATCCTTTTAACATATTGGTATTTATTGAGTATTAAGGCTTAAGGAAAAAGGAAGTATAATACCAAAAAATAAGAATGTCCCCTTATGGATTCACCGTAATTAAAATCTAACTGAACAAAAATGCCACACTTCCACAACGCGGTATCTCCAGATATGCACTGCGTAGGTAGATAGGTACCTACCAACCAAACATTTTAAAACGCATTTCGGTTATTACCAGTTTTTTCAGTCTATTTTGCCACTATTGGTGTAATTTAACTTTAATTGTGATACAATGTGCCCTAGTAGTGTAAAGAAAAAAGAGCTCTTAGTAACATCAAAACAGACAAAGAAATTGGCATGCACTGTAGTGTACATTTTGTCACTATTTAACACATTAATGGGTAATAAACACTCGCATTAAGTTTTTCTACCCTTTTGATTTATTTTAATAATAAATAGTGTGAATGTTCTTTAAATGTGTTTAATAAAGTTAATACACTTACAAATCAACTCTAATATTTTACCCCTACACTAAAAAATTTACACGGGCAAATTTTTTTACTGTAATTATACTTAAAACACTAAGAAACTATAAAACTAACTAAACACTTAACTACTAATTATTTATATATCACTACTGTTCAAGAGTCTATTTATTTGCACGTATATTTATTTATTTCGTCGCGAGTACCAAAACTTGACTAACTGCTCAATGCTGCGCCGTTCCTTATATATTAAGTGCTAACGTTCCCGAATATTCCAGCGAGCTTCACACAGCTCTCGAGCGCTGACTCACCGGCGATGACTCATCGCCGAGATCCAGAGCCGTACTCGCTACAATCTTAATTAATACCTCGTATTTTATAATAGTTAGAGGTATAGATTTTGAAGACTAATGAACTTAAAATTTACGCGTTTCTTCTAGTTTTTTTGTCGCACATTATAATTTGGAATGCTTTCTTTCAAAATTCATCAGATTTAATGCGAAAAGAACATATTTATTTTTTCACCCTTAGTATCATTTGTCATGGAATGACCCTAAAGTTTTTTTATTATTGTTTGTTTATATATGCTTTTTTACTTTATTATACTTTTGTTAGAATTATTTTATATTAAAAACTAAAGAGGAAATTTTATTGGATGTTTTATAATTTTTTTCATATTCTCTTATAAGCTTTCTGTATCACATACCTATCTACATAAAATAAAATAAAATACAAATCTATAGGTTTGACATCGTATTTGAGGGTACTTTGAACATTTTTATTGACATATTTTGCATATTATTTGTTTTTTCGTTCTTGTATGTATATTTTATTTAAACTTGCATTCAATACGGCTTTTTTAAACAAGTAGAAAAAAATATAGACCTGGCAAGGGAATCCAGTCAATAAGAGTATTTGCAAACATACAGGGTGTTCCAGAAGTCGCGTAAGAAAGAATATTTCTTACACTCGCTTTTTTTAATGGACATTTTTTAAATACAAAAAATATATTAAAAATATGTAAGAAAGTTGAGAAATATAACATAGTTTTTGCTTTTACTTAGTTTTGTACTCAACATTTTTTTATAAATAATAAATTTATGTTCTTTTTATAAACAAATCCTAGTGTAAATAAAACCTTAAAAGGATTATTAAGAAGCAAGAAAATATATTTTCAAAATAATTAATCATCTTTATATAGGTGATTCTACAAAAGTTGGGCAGCTTTTGACCTCATTTTGTTTATATAGTTTTCGAAGAAAATTAAACAGTATTTTGTTATGAGAACATAGATAATATAATAAATATACTGTTCCAGACTGGGCCAGTCACTTTTTCAAACAGTTTCTGAAATATCTGTGTTTTCTAAATTTGAATGCAAGGGAAGTGATGAGTATACCAGGGTACTAATTAAATACATAATTTATTGGAAAATATAAGATTTATTGCAACTTTGAGCATATTATACATTAAATATCTTAAAATCAAATAATACCACACATCAGTGGCGGCTGGTGGATTTTGGGAATACCGATATCTCAATTATTAGATATGGGACCCACACCAAATTTATATGAGTTTATAATGACATTAAACAAGTTCTGCGCAAGCAGAATTTAAATTGAAGTTTGCGAAAAAAAGATAACCGAAACATCGAACATGGAACTGACGACATGGTACTGATGAATGGGATACAAATTTGAGATTATAATTCAGAATTAAGTATTTTACTGATATTTTTTATTAGTGGATGCTACTTATCAACAAATCACATATAGCCTTATATAAATTACAATGAAATATATATACGTAACCACAGTACTGAAATTTTGACTGGAACTATACGTGCATTCACCACAACTTCGCCGCTTGCATTGTTTTCAAGATGACTGTCGTGCAAAGGGCGGGCTCTCTAGGTAATTTTTTACCAACACTTGAGTTAAAACAAGGACTTGACGTTTAAACTTAAATATTTCGCAGGAATTGTGAATTTTAACATTGGATACAGAACTGACGGGTAAAAGTGAGTACAAAGATTATCATTTTTTTTTAAATTGCTATTATTCGAATCCATGATAAAATATGAAAAATACATTATTTAATGTTTTATAGTTTGTAGTGAAATTGAAAAATTTAAGATAAATTGAATATATTTTAAAATAAAATCACTCAAATATTTGATTCAGGAGTTGTGACACGCCAAGGTATTGATGTTTTGAATATTTATTATGTTTTTCTACAAACGTGCTTTTGAAAAAATACATTAAAATTGGGTGGCCAAGTTAAAAAAACCTTTCATCTTTAGTAATATACTAAAATATTTACAAAAAATATTAAAATACCTACTCTATTGACTGATGACATCAAGTTGTCCAACTTTTGTAGAATCACACATATAAGTTTTTTTAATATATTAGTAAATTTGTGACCCAAGATTTTGTTTTTACTTTTTCTTTTTTAAATGTACAAGAATTTTAAAAAGGACCCATATAGTATAGTTTTTTTTGACTACACAGAAAAAACGCTAGCATAGCATGAATGGGTGAGCCATTAAACCAATGGGATCTTGTAATCCGTATTCCTGAATAACAGTTCCTATAAAACCAATAGGTAGTTACTGTTTTTAAATTAACAACAAAAGTTATCGCTCCTAAATCTATTGATATTCATATTGATATTTATTTGTTAGAATGGTAGAATGTTATTGCATTAAATACTAATTTGATTTATTTAATAACGTTACTATTGTATGTATACTATGTATACATTTAACGCAATAAATTCTTTGACATTTAGGCAAAATATTTCCCTTTTTTGGTTTAATAGTAATTAATTGAGCAAATAACAATTTAGATTGCTTCAATTTTAATACATTCAATGACAGCGCTGTTCTTGGTACTATGTTAGATTTTTTTCTGTGTAAGAATATATTTTAAATAAATCAAATTTCTAAAATTTATATTAAATTCTCGTATTTTCCAGATTTTCTTAAAATCATTTATTTAGTTTAATTAGGACCCAATCATTCTCGGTTAAAGTATTTAATTTAAACGATTAAAAATAATAAATAAATAAAATTAAAAAAAAACATGACATCGACTCACCGAGACAGTAGTTTTTCAAAGTTTTTCTTGTATTAAGCACGTGATTTTTTCGAACTCGACCGTCACCACTGAACACCGGAGTATTACTATCTTGCAATGCGACGCTCCAAACAACGAAACTTTTGCGTGAAGCTGCGAAAGTCAGTTTTGGCTCCGGGGCGCTGCTTTCCCCAAACGCAACAAGTTCCCCAACTCCATCAATACTAATTTTCGACACCTGTGGATGCAAACACCTCCCAAAATAACAAATTGTTTATATTAAGTTTATATTAACATTAATACTGTAAAAACAAGAGTTCTATAAATAGTTATAAGGGTCATTTTCAAGAAACACCCGCTTTCAGGAAAATGAAGATCAAATTTTTTTTTGCTTAAATTGACTTTTGGTTGGATTTTTATAAACGTTTAGAGTTTTGTTCACTTACATTTAAGACAGGCAGTGCACATTTTTTTTGCGTTTTTTTCAGAAAAATGTGTTTAGCTATAGACCAGTTCAGAAGCCTTTAAAAATGGTAAAAAGAGAAAAAAATAACAGTAGGATGAAACCCATTGGAAAAGGAGGGGAATATAATAAAAATTAAAGGAAAAATAAATTACGGGCGATCTGAGTTCGGGAAGTGGGAGGGGGGGGTTTTAAGGGTAAAAAATGGTTTATCTCGATTTCCGGAAAAACTACAAGTCCTATGGAAAAAAGTTAAATGTCAAAGTTGTAGGTAATAAAAAGATCTACAACTTTTGTATTTACAATTTTTTCACATAACCTCAAAATTTATGTGAAAAATTCAAAAAACCAAGTTTTTGGTTTTTTATTTTTATCTTTTTCAAAAAAAATTTTTTTCCACGAAATTTGGTGAAAACTTACCTTTTTATGTCCCAAATACACTGTAATTTATTTGATTTGAAATATTTATTATTTCGCCTTATTTTGACTTAATATCAAAAAAGCACCCTAATTTTCAATCGAAAATTCTCGCGTCAAAATATCAGCTTTTTTCAAAAAGTCGGTGTGCTTTTTGTTTGTTGAAATCTCTACTTTCTGATGGTGTAAAAAAAATATACATTACTATGGTAAATGTTCTCAGAAAATACAAAAAATATTATAATGAATAACGTAATCAGAATGAAGTATCTAAATTGTACGATTTACATGTATTTTTATATTTTATGAGATTTTCTGACATAAATGTTATTAGAATTTAATAAATAAACTTTTTAACTAAAAAAAATTGCAACAATCACATTTTTTTGATGAAATTGTATATAATGATTAAAATAAATTTTCGAATTCGAGTTTTTTTTGTTATTCATTATAATTCAAACCGGACAGCGGAAGGCGGGTGTTTTTTGAAAACGACCCAAATGCTTCACAAACCAGAGATACCACACTTAATGATATTTGCAACAAACTATTTCAGAAGTCAGACCAAGGAATTAGTAGTTACCTTCAGAATCCAAAAAAGGGATGAGGAATCCGAGAAAGAAATATATGAATTTTATGATATTTACAAAAACGAAATTAAAAAAATTACCTAAAACAGCAATTTATCTTTAAAAAATATTTAACAATTTATGTTATTTGATGTAAAGTTGTTATGTTTATATAAAAATTGTATGTCCAATAACTATGGTTCACGAGTTCAATTACTATATAAAATGTCCAATTACTATATTTTTTTGCATGTTTTTATAAAACTATTATTAAAAATTCAAATATTCTTATTTTTAAGTAAACGTAAATAAAGTTAACTTTAAACTTAAAGTTAACTTTAAATTTAAACAAACAAACTATCCTTTTTATTTATAAGAACAAAACTAAAATCTTTAAAACAACGGCATATATAAATTTTAAATATATAATATTCCTTAAGTATCCAATAACTATAGTTATACATATATGTATAAAACAAAACTAGATCCTATAGTTACTAGTACATAATGTATTCTTGTGAACCAAACAAAATATTGCCCGTCATGAAATTAGTAATTAATTATGTTATGTAGCTTATAATACAAATTTAATTTTAACAGAATTAGCAAGATTATGTCTAGGCGTAATATCGCCCACATGATTAAGAAGCTACATTGTAAATTTAATTTGAATCACTTTATTATCAAAAGTGATTACTTTAAATCCCGACCGATGTTAATTAAAATGTGTTTTAAAAATTCTTAGAATACCTTTACGCTAAAAAAGCATCGCTAGTAGCGCCACCACTCGGCTGTTATCATCGTAACAAAAGTACAACTTTTAATAGTCAGCTGTCAAACGCTTATGTTACAAACAAGTGTTTTTGAGAATGATTCCGGAAAATGTTAAAAAATATCGGAAAAAAAACGTGGCACGATTTGTTGTGTTGTTGGGTGTATTTCAAGAGGAAATCCTGGGTTGAGTTTTTACCGGTTTTCCAATAAACAGGTTAATCCGAATGAAGAAATAAATTTCATACAGTCCCTGTAAATATAAATTGTATCTATTAGATACAATAAATACACATTTTAGTAAAGATTAACGTAAAAAGTCAATTCAGTAAAAATCGTCAAACAAATAAGTCGTCTAAATTTAAACATCATTTAGGATTATTAAAAGCGTTGATTAAGAAAGTCTCCCTTCAGCGGTAAAATACCATTATATTATGGATTTTGTTGTTTAAAATGCGTTTTTTTAGAGAACTCAAATATAAAAATGGTTGATTTTAAGGTTATGTTTGTGCAAAAATTGTTTTTTACTAATTTCTTAAAAATGTCCAAATTTAAATATAAATTATATTGGGTAAAGTTATCATTAGATAATTCTGCACCAACAAATGTACGTACCGAATTGGATCCTTTGGCAAAACATGAAAATGCAACGATTTAGTTCTTGAATTTTATTTACAATTAAAAACGCAATAATTCACCATAACCCCTTAGATAAAATGCACACACTAACTTAACTATTTAAGCATTTAAGCGTTTCTTAATCAATGATATAAAGAATAATCAATCGAAATCGAGTACTAAACCAGTTTTTTAGTTTTTCCTTGCAACGTAAAACACAAATAACGAGCGCGATTTAGCTGTGCAATTGAACAAAATTTGTCGAGTAAGACTTATGCCTTCCTCTCTTTTGTGAAAAAACTACATGTTTAGTTAAAAATGATGTACAGATCGTTTGCTTTAAATGTATTGTTGACAATTCTTAAATTCACACAATGCTATCGAAGTCCACCAGATGGCGCGCGCGTTGCGAAAACCCGATACTTCTTTAGCGTTTTTACCACAATCCACACAAGGTCTGTTCTATCTCATGCTAAAAATACTAAAAATCACTGCAACACTGCACAGAGTTTAACGGCGGCCATTTTTGTTGTTTACAATTCTTGTGCTTTGGGTTTGTGCTGTTTAATAATTGTTTTAAACGTTGGGTTTCTTACAGAGGCACTTGTAAGCCTCAAATTAGGCCTTTAAGTGCTAAGGACAACCATTTTACTCCTCTTTTATAATAAATATACCTTATTCTATCAGGGCTGTCAAATGACAATTTGAAGGTTAATTTGTGGATTATAATTTAACCTTAAAATTGACATTTGACAGTTTTATGACAGCCGTGATAGAATAAAGTTTTTTTACAATAGAGGAGTAAAATGGTTGTTCTTATCACTTTAAGGCCTCTTTTAAGGCTTACTATGAGAAACACAACGTTTAAAACGATTATTAATCTGTATAAACAGAGCACAAACCCAAAGCACAAAAATTGTAAACAACAAAAATGGCCGCCGTTAATCTGCGCAGTGTTCCAGTGATTTTTTGTATTTTTAGTACGAGATAGAACAGACCTTGTTGTGTGGTTTTTACTGAAATAAAATAAATCCCTAAATGTGATAATATGGTTGTCATTTTTTAGACAAATCTATCAAAATTTTGGTAAAATTACTAATTTAAATTTACAATGGGATCAAATTATTTCTGTGGCGAATACGTGAACAAACCGTCCCCGAGAATACTGAAGAAAAAACAGCTGAGGGAAGAATACGACTCGGAACATTTGGAACCGAAAGATGTGTATTTTTTGCCTGACGAAATTTGTCCTGGACACAACTACATCAACAAAGAGGTTATGAAATACGCGGTCCTGCAAGTAGTATTTGCTTTTTTAACCATCGTTTTGATACACGTGATAAAACAGGTATGGTTTTTTCAATTTATTGAAGAGGAGAAAGGCGTGTTTGAAAAAATATTGGATTGGAATAGGCATTTTTTCTCTTAGTCTGTTGCTTTATTTATAATTTAATATGTTATGTATATCTAACACGGAACATTTTTTAACAAACTAAAATAAAAATAAAATTGAAGAAAAAATACGAGAAAATGACGTTTTATTGCTTTATGTTTTTTTATTAAGTTGGTAGCTTATGACAGTCTATTCAAATCCAAGCTGGACTAAATATAAACACAATCCTCCAAATCGACCAATAAAAACTCACAATCCGAGTCACACCATCAGAATCGACCAATGATTGGACAACATTCACGTCCCTGTTGTAAATGACCGATAGGACCAATTAGGATTCTACTTTTTAGTGGTTTCGATTGGTTAAAGCTACCCATAGGTAATTTCTAATTGAATTCAATTGGGCATTCCCAGTGTGAGATTCTAAAAAGGAATCTGCTTATTGATTATTCCCAATACTTTAAAATATTGCAAAACTAACGTACGCAGTCCTTGTTCGAATGGTTGAGACGCCATCATAAAGAAACAAACAAGTCTTTGGACGCTATTTAATGTCGTTTTTTTATTAGTCGGTTTAGGTTTAGGGACGATGGCGTGAGAATGGTGGTTACAGCGGACAAAATAAAAAAAATTTGACATAAATAATATTGATTTCGGCCATGCCTACAAACATCCTTTGCAAGAAAAACAAAAAATGATTATAACCGAGTAATTTTATTTATTTTTTGTTACGTATCAATACATATCTCACTAACACAAAAAAATAATGAGGAAATAAAGTTACTCAGTTATAATAATTTTTTTGTCTCTTCTGTGAAAAATGAATTCTGGTTTTTACCGGGTTACCCTTCTGGGATCTAAAATTATTTTTGAATGAAAAATAAACTGGTAGTTATTTTCTAATCCAAATTTTTAAAAATTTATTGGTTTTAATTTGGATGGAATGGGTTTGGCGCTATGAATTACCAATT